CTGGCTCAGTGATCTCAGTTTCTTTACTCTTATATGTTTGTAAATTGTTAATTTTTTGCTTTAAAAATGATTGAATTATGTTGTTCTTATCTTCCGGTTAAGGTTTTATGTCCTTTAGTAAATCTGCATGCAATATTTCTAGAGTTATCAACAATTTAAAAGTTGTTTGCGACTAAGCCTAATTAGTCTTGCCATAGCGGCCATATTTTTTTACATTTGAAACTTGGCATCGAGGATTTGTTTCCAATCTAGAGACTAAGCTTTGCAACAACGCCTTCTTTTATAATTGCGAATTAAATCATGCTTAATCTATTCTGGACTTTATCTAAGGAAATAAGTGTTTAAGATTTACCTCGTAATTTTTGATATATATGTTTTGAGTTTTTATGTATTTTTGCCTTGTTGCGAAGTGAGAACTGAACTAATTGAATGAGGAATACTGAATTTTCTGTGAAAACCTTTTTCTTTCTTCTTTCTCCTTTGTTTCTGAAGGACTATTGTTTTCGTTTTGCGATTTTCGATTCGTCAAATCACTATAAATGTCCGTTTCACTTTTCAAACTGTTCCCACCAAATGTTTGAGTCCTGCATTCTATTTGAAGAAACTAAATAATGAAAAACTTGTATAAATGTATACAGGTATATTCTCGCATTGTGGTAAACCTTATTGTGGTAACCTTATTGTGGTAAAACCTATTGTGGTAAAACCTAGGTACCGCATTGTGGTACCTAGAGCCATCGAATTTTGAATGACGTAATCGTACTGCGAATATGGGCATGTGGAAGCTCAAATTTGAAATTTGGAGTTTGTTTTATTATCGATTTCATATTTTGTAAAGTTTTAACGAATTTTTGATTAACAAACTCAAAGATTTCAAAGCGTGCAATGGCAACGTTGTACAGAAAAAACTTTTTTATCTCTAGCGCGTGAGACTATGTATCGGAAATTCTAAAGATATGCTCATTTTAAAATTATTTTGCGATATTGGTCTGGAACTGAATTTTGTGGTTTAAATGCGAAGAAAATGATACTTAATAAATAAAGGTAACACACAAAACGTTAAAAAAAACTGCCTTTGAGCGTAATATAAAATCTGAAAGCTCTCATATTTTTTTTCAGGGTTACGTTTCATCAGTTAAAACATTATTTGATAATACCCTGATAATATTAACAGAACTGTTTATCTTAATAAGTGACGAATTTTCTATGTTTTCGTAAACAAACCGGTGAGACATCGGCAAATCGATAACAACATAATAAAAACACTAACCGGGCTCACATTGAGCGGCGTCTGCTGAAGTCAAAGGGTTGTTGCTATAAAGCTTTTCTCAAAACTTTGTTTCTAATAATGGTAACACAGGAAAATAAACTTAATTCTTTGTTTCAAAAGAAGTTTCAGCAAGCGAAAATTTTAAATATCGTGCGCTTCTGTAAATAACAGACGCGTTGTAATTATTACAAGAGCCTCAAACATTAATTATAATAAATTTAAAAACCTGATTTTCTTTTTTTGGAAAAGAATTGAGTCGAGACGTTATCTTAGCCGGAGGGACTGAATTATCGATTCGCTCAAATTTTAAATCTATTCTTGTAAACCAATTACCGCAACTTTCCTCCTCGAATTTAATTTCTGATAATTCTTGTACCTTGGCGAGATAAAAAGCAATTTCCGGTAAAATTTCAAGCAACAAATCATTTCAAATCGCTAGCAGGTAGTAAAGGAATAGTCTATAAAACATGCTTCTAAAAGTGACAGAAATGTTGCTTTAAAGAAACTATCATTTTCTAAGATCTCGTTGTAAGGAATGTAACAAATGTAGCATTTTTAATGGATTAATTCCTTTATTTTAAACTGATTTTGTGGATCTAGAAATAAATTCTAAAAGCGAAAGTTCTGTTCACTATGCACTGCCGTCTATCAGTTTACATTAGTAGTCATGTTAAGGTGTTAATTGTTTGTCCATCAATATTTTAAAAGCAAATTTGCAAATATTGTAAAGTCGAACGATTCGTTAATGAACTGGTTCACTTTACTGAGCGAATGAAGATTCGATTTCAGTGAACAGAGTGGTAGCTCTTTTACAATTCATGGAGATCTCTCATGGAAGCGTGCCAGGAATAGAGATATTTTAATTACTCACAATACTGATTCACTTTAATGAGCAAGTGAACTCCTCCATCATGAAAAACGTGTGGATGCTTTTGTTAGAACCGTGCCAGGAAAATCCGATTTTCGTTTTAGAAGAGAAAAGAATATTTATTCTCCCATGTTAAAATTGAGTTTATTTTTATCAATTCCCAACTTTTTTTTAATTCCTTATTCTATAATTTAATTGTTAGTTTTCTGTAGGAAGGATGTCTCGGGGATTCTCAAAAGTGCAGTTGAAAAAAAATCAATTCAGGAAGATAGCATTTTGATCAAGTGGATTTTTCCGATTCCACTGCTCGTTCGATTCTTCTCGTTCTTTTCTCCAGTATCGCTAAATGTTCTCAATGCCATGCTCGTTTGAATTTTTTGTGTCTTCATTATGTCTTCGCTAACTATTCACTCCTCGTTCCCGATTTTTTTCCCATTAAGTTTGCTGCTACTGAGCAGGAGTCGTAAAAAAAACTGATTTCAATGAGGAACTATTCTGATCCAATCTCATAAAAGAGCGACTCTACCCGATCGCTATTATAAAGAGCTCTATTTTGATGAAAGGTTTCATTAACATAAACTGGTTCCATGAGAAAATGGGAGAGAGAATCATAAAAGCCTTCCGACAATCAAGATCGTTTTGTTAGGAGGCTAACATAAGACAATGATTCCCAGCGCTGCGAAATTTTATTCAGTAGTTTTCTTGATAGTGACTTAAAAAAAGTTGTTTGTATGCCAAAGAATGTATTGTGCATTTTATTACGTTTCGGTTTATTTCACTGTAACTGTAATGTGTTTTATACTGAATTGCTTACAGATCGGAAACTTTCATTCAATAATTATACACAAATTATAAAAAGCAAACCTTCTTCAGGTAGGCGAACAATGCACTAATTTCAGTAAGAGCCAGCGTTATTACGAAAAAGATGGAAAATGCCTACATAGGCTGCTATTCTTATGCTCTACATAATCAAAGTTTAATTAATGAAATAGATACTTATTATTATTAGGGAATTCCAGTAAGACTTTACTGATATTAAATAAAATGTTAAAAATATTTACTTTGCACTGTACAATTGAAGTATATTCATTTTCTTTTTCTCTCTGACTTTTATCGGAGTAAAACTCGTATCACACTTACGAATGTGAATCGCAACAGGTAATGTTTTATAGAAAAGCATGAGGTCAACGCATCGGTAAAATAACTGAATACTGGTAAGGCTACCGGTGTTCAAATCCTGGCAAACGGGTGGGTTGCATGGGAGGTCTGCCTTTTCCCATCTATTACATAAATTTAAGGCAGTGCTTCTTAAAACGTCTTCTACAAATGCATCCCTGTTTTTTAGGTAGATGACCCTCGCATGCTTTTACCGTTATCTAAGTTTCCCATTCTGATCCAGTCCTAGTAATGAAGCTTTTAACAGCAGGTTGAAACCTGATTTGTCCGCGACATTTTACGATGCTGTAAAAATGTTCCTTCCAACATTAGTTTCACGTAGTTTAGCAGTCAGAAAGAAGGAAGGACTAAATTTCTAACCTAAGCACGTGAAACTCCTGGAAGCTAAGATTCCTCTGAATGTTCTATTCAGCTAAGTAATTGACGGAATCTGTTGCTCTGATTATAGTATAAGAAATTAGTTTAATCCCTAAATTACGACTTCTTTGTCCTCATTCGCGTGCTTTCCATTAAATAAAACACGCTAAGCGGAAATGAAGTGGGAAAAAAATAAGACAATCGCCTTATTTTCCGCTGCTGTTGTTTTCATGGTTACGAGTCAAATGGGGAGGCGGAATGTAACCTTGAAGTTCCTATTTCAAAGTAACAGACTGTTGACTTGACATACGTTTTTCACCTAATGAAATTTTTATTTTCCATTTCCAAAAACTGCTTCCATCACAGTATATCGCGAATGCTGTTTCAGAGAATGAGGATAGTACGATTGTAGCTAGCTGACGTTTTAAAAATGCTGGAATGATTTGAATTCGAAGGTTTGCTTTCCACTTTACCAGCAAAACATGTTAAGATTTCCTTCTCCTTTTATTAGCTCATATCATTGAGGCTTATGTTTTTCCTAATTGTTCTGTTCCATAACGCAGGATAGTAGTAAAACACAAATATTATCTTAATTAGTTATCAAGGAGTTTTAAAGAAAATAATTTAATTTAAGGTCACTTACGTATTATCGCAACCACTTTAGTGGAAGTCGCCAAATTTTCAGAATGTGCCAAACTCTGACAACCATGCATACCCATTCTTCATGAAAACATGCTCATACCAAACCTTCAGACGAGCGAACATGATTTTACCCAACATGATTTTTATAAACAAATGATGACTTTTTTTTGCCTTAAACATAATTTTAAAATATGAGCTTGGGAAATTTGCCAGCAACAAAAGCAACTTCGGTAAAATTTCTGCAGGAGTGCAGAATTTCACAAAAAATCTTTAAAAGGAGGAACGAAGAAATGCGTTTGGTAGATAGAGGGTGTTGTCGAAAGTTTGCGAGATGCCGAGTCAGCTGTTCTATGCTATTTTTTTAAGCAGACACAGGTCATTGTGTACATGTGTTTTATTTTTTTAATCTATCGTTAATCCTTATTTAAAATGATAAAAGTGTATTTTAAATTACTTAAGAGTGTTCACTTTTCGTATACTGATAATGTCTGCCTACTTAAGAAAATTATAGATATTTTGAGAATCGTTCTAAAATCCATGAACTTGCATCCGATAAGGAAGTAACTTTTAGAAAACGCAATTATTATTTTGCACAGAAACCTGAATTAGAAAATGAATTAATATATTCCGCTGATATCACTACTCGTTTTTATGTGAAAGCCTTTAATAATTGCTTCTAGCTTAGGTATGAAATTTACTTCAACGGGTGAAGTCGTACCAGTTGATATAAACCTATCCAAACGAAGATACCTTGGAGCAAGAGAGTTCTCGCTTAGCTTATGGGAGAGACATATTATTGCAGAAAAAGAAAGAGTAAAGGTAAGAAATTATATTATATTATTATTTTAAGGAAATATTAAACGGTTTTATTACTTACGTACCTAACTCTGTTACTAGTCTTCAAAACCTTTAACTTTGTTGATTCATGGGTCAACCATTTAACGAGTTGCTAAAACTGCATCTTACATTACAGATTAAAAAGATTTAGATGGTATTTTAAATTAAAGATTTAAATGCATTTTCGTTTAGGAGAAAAGGAGAAAAAAATAATTTTAAGGACTGCGTTTATTACTATTCAGTACTGGTTTGCTACTCAAAAACAGAAAGTATAAATTTGAAAGTTTACTGAATACTTACTTACTTACTTACACATTACTGAATGGCAACATTTTTTTCTAATGACAGATTGAGAACAATTACAAATATAACCCAGTCCATTAATCTATACAAGGCTGGATGTGGTGGTCTCTTTATTATGGAGGCACCTAATAGGTGGGCCACCATCGCCTTTCCTATGAAGGAACGGACTGTTACAACCATGCTTTCGCCGGGATTCGAACACAGGCCGTTCGGCATCGCAGTCAGCTTCCCTGACCACAGTAGCTTTGCGATAACCCAGCTCTAAAGCCGTCTTGATGCATGGAACTATACGAGGTACTCTTAGATATAATATATATTTTTTTAACGCGTAATGCTTTTATCTCATTTTTATTTCCTTACTGATATGTTTTATCTACTTAAGTTATTTATCAGGTGTTGCTGCGAAAATAAGTAAATTTTTTTTCTGGGAGCAGGTGGTCAAGGTATTTTGCGCTGCGTATGCTCATGTTTCGTTTTTTAGCATAAAAATTTAGACTCAATTTATTCTTTTTTCCCGAATATTAATTAAACTGTGCTTAGAGGTACAATTTCAAGTAAGTCATCTAAGGAAATTTATTTTGTTTAAGGAATTCCATGGGGTTTTTCCTAAGCATCTCATTAAAGCATACCTATCAAAAAGAGATATATATGACCTGATCTTTGAATTCTGTTTTAAGAGCAACTATCTGCCACAGAAAAAAATGCTATACGTGTCTTATTTATTTCAGTATCCTTGAAATACGAAATACCTTTTTGTTTTGCTTATTTTACGAACTCTCACGACACTTTCTGTTGGTTTTGGCTTGAAAGCACTGATTTACTAAAAGCACTTTATGGTTGCATTTGACATGAATGAGGTCGTCGGATTCGCGTGCCTCTAAAAGCACACCCAAGTTTGGAAATGCATTGCCTCATGCCTGCTCTTCCTCTTTTGATAAATATGTCTGTTAACTTTTCCCATTTAGTGCTACATTTTTGATTTGTTGTTATGAGAAACTCTCTAAGTTAACTTATATTATCAGTTTAATTTCAAATTTGTTTTTATGTGACATCACTACTAATAAATCGCTAAGTAAATAAACAAAACCATTATATTTGGAAACCCACTTTAGCTAATTAATGTGAATTAGACATTTATTTAACTCAGCATCACTAAGTTACACATAGTGAAACATCAACAAGATTTATTTCTGCTGCTACCTAGACAGGCTAAAGTGACTCGGATTATTTACAAGTTAAGGTGTATAAATTTAAAGCCTAATATTTTGGCTCTCTGCCTTGCTATTTTGAATGTAATTTTGATCAAAGGTAAACTCAGTAGCTGCTAGCAATAGCGCTGAAATAAGGCATTTATAGATGAGTTTAACCAGCAGCAGAGGTTACCAGCCCTCTTTCTTAACAGATTCTTGCTTCGTGTTGGAGACACTAAGGTAATAGAATTAGCGTAATTTTTATGAATTTGCAGATCTAGTTTCTAACACTTAAATATAGAACCTTGTTCTTCAACTGCAAGAGTGAAAATGGCGAAGAAGAAGCCTGTGCTTATGCAATAATAATAGACCAGAAAACTAAAAAAAGTGGCGTTAAGGAAAGAATCAAACTTCCGGCGCCATCTATTGATAAAATATGAAAAACAAAAGAAAAAAGTTCCTTAAAATTTAAAGGCTGATTTAAATTTGGATCATTAATTAGAATTGAAAGATTTTTAGGTATGTGGAAAACTTTAGAAAATCTACTTTGTTTAGCTTTTACGGTAATTATTTCGTATTTTTGCCCTTTTTTTTAATCAGCAGATGACGTCAGCTTATTCTTTCCTTAAAGGAATTTTCTCAAAATTTTCAGTCAGTTGTTATCGTCTGAGCATAGATTTCTTTTTCTACAGTTTCACTTCTGCAGCTAAAAGAAAGCTTTAAATTCAGATTTTCGAAACTAGTCCTGCAAATTTAAATTATGATGTTTCTTCCTTGTTTAGTATGGCTAAATATATTTAATTGGTTATCTTAACTCAAATTCTTGCTCTTTATTTAAATTGATTTATTCATATAGATATATGTCCTGTTAGTAGTCAGAGGGTTAAGAGTTATCTGCCTAAGGGGACGGATGCATTTATCGAAGACTTTCAAAGGGAAACTAGCTCGTACTGATGTTATGCATGGGAAAAACTGCGAAAACTGACCATGCAGCTATCCCGTTTGCTTGGGATAGAATCCAAATCAGGTCGAACTACCAGTATCAGCGCTTTGAAACACTTGGTCTCTAATGGGACTCAAGCATTTGGAGCTGAGAAGTATTGTTGATTATATCTCAGTTAAACTGGCACTCGATTTGATTAAGAAAAATTAAGTTTTTACTATCAGTACCGTATTCAAAATAAAAATACCTTAAAATAAAATACGTTACTTAGTTTATTCAAAGAGATACAAAATTTTCTTGCGTATCATCAACATTCTTCTGCTTAAAATTCGGACATGGTGCATTTAGGTCAGAGAGTTGTTCATGATTCAAATAAACTTTCGCCAGGAAACTAAAATCCAGAAAATTATTCTCGAGCTACGAGCTGGAAGTGTTAATACCTAAAGTACAAGTAGGCCATTTCGTATATAAAATCCCTCTCTTTTCTCGCAACTTCCAGCCTAGCTGCGGGTTCTCATTAGGGTATGATGTACTGCATCGTTTAGTAGCTTGAACGGGGCGCGAGGTGCTTTTAGAAGCGCTTGATAACTTCTGGATTCCAAGTACTCGGAACGCATAAATTTCTTGCGCGGTAGATTTACATTCCCTTAATAATTCTTCGATGTTGGTATGCATTTCAGAAATTTTATAGCAGAGACGTGAAAAATGAACTAAGTGGCTCAGAGGTTCGAAATATTTATCGTGCTTTAAGCAATGCATTACATTTCAGGTATCAAATATAAAGTTCAACAGAATAATAATGCGCAGGGATAATATTTTTATCAGCAACTACTCCGAGCACATTGCTTAGTTTATGCTCAAAGCCTTAAATGCTCTTTATAACTGAGACAATTCAGACTTTATTTAACATTGGTTCTAAAGGTAAATCTCAAGGCGGTTCAGAGCTAAAGGCAACCGATGATGCTCTGTTATTTTTAAATCGCTGCAATATTACTCGATCATTATGTTTCATTTCTAATTTAATGCTCTTTAAACGTATGCAAATTCAGCTAATTTTTTACATAAAGCTCAGTGCAGCATCATCTAGCAGTTAAAAGGTTGCCAACTAGCAGTTAGTTTGAAATTGTGAGAGTAAGGTGTAGTGGGGATTATGCCTAGGTGTCTACACCAATATCGTCCAATGTTATCAGTAATGTCTGAGACAAAATAGCAAAGCAGAATCGAAAAGTAGCAAAATTTAGCAAGTGTCAGTAGAAATTACGTGATTTTTTGACGTTATAAGTCTTCGAATCAGGATCGATCATTTAGAGGTTTAGGCTAGGTTATAATCTCAAGCCATTTCACGTCATCGTCAGTTTGGTTGGTGTCCTTGGGTTTCGTTAAATTAATTAGATTTTTTTTTCATTTTACTGTGAACTTTTATTTAGCCGACTCACAGTGTTTCACTACAGGTGGAATTTTGTTATCAATTTTTAGACTAATTCCTGACAAGCTATGGAGTTCAAAATTTGTACATACAATGTATGGTAGAAGACAATGGAATGTGATGAAGTTATTCTTTCAAAATTTGATTTAGATTTCTTTCATTTGCTATTTAAACGGATATTTCGAACATATCTTCTTTTAACGAACAAATTAAGCGTACTATATAATTTTACGGTTTGCACTGGCGAATGCAGCGGAAAACCTCTTTTTAATGGAAATTATATGAAAATTCTAACTTAATTCCTCAACTTTTGCGAGTTTCTGAAAATGCTCCAATTTTTAGGCTCTTTGGCGTTTATGATTTTAACGTCTAAAAATGTATTGAATGCAAAAATTTGAAACTTTCACAGATTATATAAAAAGCGTTTCGCCCTTTCTAAGACAAAATAATAAAATATGTTGCTTGGGTGATTTTGTACATATTTATTTTAAATGTATTGCAGTCTGAAGCAAACAAGGGAAAAAGCGTTTTAAATTTGCTATCTTGGCTCACTTAATCACGAACTGGAGTTATTGGTTTTCTCATTTTAGCTTCAGGTTACTGGAGTTATTGGTAAGGTCAAGTCGAAAACGCATATGCAGCCAGTCGTTTCGCTTGCAGTCAAACTCATGTTCAACTGATAGTGTTCAGCCCTGCCGCTGGTGGGCCCTAAGAATAAGGGATAGACTCCACCTTAAATGTTCCCCTTTTAACAGCTGTTTATTCTATCACAGGCGTTTGTGCACTTGCCTTAAACATATGTTAGTGAACACCGCCTAATAAATAAAACAGAAGAAATGAAAGGCACTTTTGTGATCAAATAGAATTGAGAATGTTTATCTAAAACACATATTTGCAACGAAAGTCGTTCAACGTTTCTTCAGAAAATGTGAAAATATTTGTTCACATCTAAGAATAATCTTTACTTAATTGCCTTTTACTATTTTCAAATATATTCATTTTAAATAACTAAATAATTTTACTTTGGCATATTTTTCAAAATGGCGAACATAGTTGGTCAAAGAGCATGCATTCAATTTTGTCTCTGCAATAGATATTCTAGTATAAATATTTTTAAACATTGCAAAACACCTTTGAAGACAAGACTTTACCCAAAAAGAGAAGTTACGAGTGGCTTAAGAAAGGGGCGGAATATGTCGAGTATGTGATCCAGTGACAGGAAAGAATAACACATCGGTCTTTGGTATTTATCAATCGAGCATTTAACAGTTATATAAGTTATAATATAGTATATATAAAGTGTACTATCTACATCATTTCTCCTGGATATTAGTAATGAGCAAAAACGTTTTCTTCATCATCATTTAAGTATACAACATGTTTAAAGCGATGATGATTATGTTTTGGACATACTGCACTACATTCGTAATATGTATGATTACGTAATTCTAAACACGGCCTTTTTAAGAGCCACTCCTGCTTTTGTTCTATTAATTTGAAAGAAATTTATATTTAATGGGTTATTAAATTAGTTCATGGAATCATTTTAATTTATATATTCTTAATTTTTTATATTTATTTTAATATTCATAAATGGTGTTTTAGTGGCACCATCTAAGAAATAAAGTTACTTATCTGATCGACAGTGAAACTATCACCAAGCTGTGCGAATTAGCGCAAGTTTTAAGATAAGCGAGATGTAACAAAACACTCATAACATCTGGGCTTTTACTTGATGTAAACCTGCGATAACCCAACTTTTGTTTTTAAGAATAAGGATATAAATTAGTTCTACTGATATATTTATCTTGCATTTTTAAACTAAATTATTAAACCTGGGACATGTCACCAACTGAACAGCAAGCAGTGGATTGCTTTCAAAGTTATGGGAACATACCATCAAAAAAACTGTATTCATGGAGACGACGTGATCAGTTGAGTATGGTGTACAAAACAATAATAAATTGGAACAGCTATCTGTGGGAAGTTTATACTTATAACGTATCTAAACAGACCTCCTAATAAAATAGCAGAAATCGACAAAAGCCTTTTTTTTTTCTAATTGCAAAAACGAAGCGAATTGACACTGATGGTTTGATAAAAATGGCAAACAATGGCATCAATTCCTTCAGAATTCCTCAGGAATAACTGGCGTCGTTTTGGAGAGATCTCTGCTAACTTTAATGGATCGAGAATAGCCAGTTTTCATGGTCAATGGGATAATAATAAATAAGCACCGGAATAAATAAGCAACTAAAAGCGGTGCATCGCATACTAAATCATTACCCAATATTGTTTTGTCTGACAGTACAGTAAGTATTTCTTTTATAAAGATTTGCAATGAATAGCAACATTGTAAGGGTAAGGAAAAATATTAAAAATTGAAGGTTATCTAAGGAATTTAGAGGTTTAAGGAGGTGTGCTGTTTCTGTTGCTGTATTTGGGGATATTATGGGAAAGAATGATAAGAACAGAAGATATTTATGAACAGTCTAATGTGGAAACTACACGACTAAGCCCTTAAACGGTCTATTAAAATACATACACTTGTTGATTTGCTTCATTTAAACTGATTTCCTTGAATTATTTTAACTTAATTAAGCGATCTCTCAAGGCAAATTGAAAAGAACATAAAAATTTTGCAAATATCCGGTCAGTTTTTGTCATACGGGATTCAAACTTCTTCATATTTTATCTTTTCATAACGAGTATAAAGTTTTCCCAAATATAGGTATAGGAACCGGAAGATTGCATTAAAGGTTAGATTTCGTTACTCATCGAAAATTATTATTACTATTTTTTTTCAATTTGACATTGCCAAAACATGCGTATTTTCGTCATTTGAAACACTTCTGTAATTAGACGTATATGACTACGATCAACGATTGAGAAAATAAAGGCTGGATAATAACTTTTCCGGCTCAGGGGGTGAATATATATATAATACACATACGTTTGGTATTGCCGATTGCAGTAAAAAAGGAATTTGAGCGACAAGATGTTAATAAACAGTAGAATGAGAAAATAGCAAAAAATAGTAGAAATAATAGAATAAAATAGACCCATGTAACCAAATTTCGTCTTCCTATGGCTAATCGCTTTTCAGTTATGCTAAAAATATATATACATACATACATACGTAAGCATGTACATACAGATTCCACCCAAAAATCCCTTTTTAATCCATTTTAAATCCATTTTACAATACCTTTCGGAAAAACATATTTTATTATATTCGTGCATACTAATATCAAGCAAAAAAGTGATCAAATGAATTCGGGAACGATCAAAATGGATATATCCTTTGAAATATTTCGTAATTTTTCGCCATTAAAATACTTTTTTTACTTCGTACAAGTAAATAAAAATATTTAAAAAATACATTATTAGCATTGTAAGAAATGACAATCCAATTAGTAGATATAGAGAAAAATGTCATATTACGACCCTTATCATATTATGTACCTTTAGTGATCTTATAAAACCTTAACATTTTTAGTTGGCAAATGAATCACTTCTCTTCCTACGACAAACCTATTGAAAACAACTTTAAAATCCTATCCCGTGACCTAGAATCAAACTCTATAACAAGAAACCATAATTTTAGTACTTTAACTGTTAATTTATAGCTGTCCTGCATTTCCGTAATACTTCTTCCTCACTTTGACTGTAATCCTAACCCACGGCTCTAATGCATTAAATCAAAACCATAGGAGATCCATTTACAAAACTGTCATTTTCAAATTTGCTGCTCATTTTAATCAGAAGAATATGAGCTATAAGTATGCTATTTCAGCAAACAAATTTACAAGTTGTAAGTGAAATGTGAAATCTTGACTTAGGTGCTGAAACGTGACTTGAAAATTTTGGATGACTGGCTGAAGAGCATATCTACTCCTATGACAGAGATCTTAGAAGCCAAGGAAGATACTCCTACAGAGTGGAAAGAGAAGGAACAAAGCTTTCGCCGGAGAACACGCCGTAAGTTCTTGTATAAAACTGAGCTCCTGAACTCTTGGTTACAGTCGAATTCAGACTTATTCTTTTTAATGCAATTCCTATTAATCAACTTAAAAGGTAAATGTGTTGCAGTTCAAAAAAATGTTTTTAGATGTTTTAACGAATTAAAATAAAACGAAAAAAAAGCATATCAGACGTTTTGACGGCAATGAAGATCTTAAATCTATATTTAGTTTTAAAAGTAAAGAGAATGACAGATTTTCTTGCCTGTAAGCTAATCTCTCCATTATTCTGCGTTCTACAAAGGTGAAGTATTCTGATCCCGACGCAAAACGAGTAGATTGATGCTCTCAATCAATTATTAATCAGTGAATGCTCTCAACCGAGTTAACTCGGGTACACCGAACTAAACTATTTTAGCGCACCCGAGTATAGACATTTGAGAAATTTTTTAAGATGTAAATACAGATACAGGCATAATCTAGGCCAGCATCTTTGTAGTACTACAGGTAATTGAGGTATTTCTGAACTTAATGTATATTAGGACGGAAGCTAAATGTTAAGCTTCCGTCCTAATATAGAGAAAGAAAACCCAGGTGTGGTTCGAGGGTCTCGCTCCTTTCTTCTCCTAATATCAGCCTTTTGGGAGGACTTCGCCGCGTATTTTGAGTGTCTCCTTGCCGCATAGACACTATACACTTACAAACATCCATGCCTTCCCCCGGATTCAAATCTAGTCTTATCGGTACAGAAATCAGCTTCACTAACAGCTATACCGGCTGGGCAGCAGGTGTAAATACAAGATATATTATTCAGTACGCTTTTGAGTTTAAAGAAAGATGTTAAGACGGTTGAATTAAAATAAAGAATAAAAAAGCTGGTAGAAAAGGGACTACTTTCTGAATTTATATTACGGTGTTAAGGGGTTAACCGAGCAATTATTGCTTTTCCTCTTTTCGTGGTACAAAATTTTGGGAAATTATTGGATTATTTCTACGCAAAGATAATAATATACAATTACTTTACATTGAAACATGAATATATAATGCACGTAATCTCACAACTGAAAGCTCACAGTGTTTGTGCATAATTTCATCCCGAGCACGTAGGAGCTATTCTTCCCTACTTCTTCATTTCTGACGGAAAACATATTGTCTGCATTTTATGGTGCAACTGCAAGCGTCGAAATTTCTGTGGTTATGTTGCTTTTATTTCTGCACATTTTGCCACATAGCGATAAATTGTTTAACTATTTAACTATCTTGAATTTTAATGCATTAAGTACCTGTATTAAAATAAATGGTTTAAATGTTAGTGCGTTTCACTCCATAAATTTAACAAGACTACATATCAACGCTTGGTTTATATACTAAAACACAGTGAAAATTGAATTTCTTTGCGTTTAGAATGCAAATCCAAGCCTCTACCTTTAAAACAAGCTTGAAGTCTTACATTTTCTCTTGAATGAATATCGAACGAAATTATATAAAATACAACGCTCGCATTTGTGGGAGGAACTCACACAAAGTACATGTTACTTACGTGTTCATTGTTCATGTTGTACAGAGAATATAATGGTGCTGAATAATCATAAACAAAATTGACAAACACAAGAATTTTAATCTTGCTTTCAAGTGAAAAATTTGCATAATCAAACACTACTATAAGCTTTTAATCCAACTTTCTATCCCTTTGATAAAGCAATTTTAAGTTCTCGAACTGCTGTATCACATACAGATAAACATATAACCATAACTGCAAAAATATTAACTTTCTTATAAGGTCCACATTAAAAAGATTGCTCAAAATAAACATGAAAATAATAACTTTACCTTAACCTTGGAACTAAATTTCTAAATATTTGCATATTGATACTCAGTTTTACATAAACATTACTTCATGTCAGGAGGAGGTGAATAAAACTTAAGGTAAGGTTGCATAAATCGTAGCTTCTAAGAGCAAATGCATATAAATCGTGGGATATGAAAAAAATAATAATTATGTATTATAATAATATCTTGTGTTACCGTTGTTGATTATATTGGAATGAAATTTTCATATAGTCTCTTCACTTGGATAAAATTAATAAAATTTCTAAACACGAATTTAATACAACTTAGGTAAAAGTATTCTAAGTCGTACCACGTATACCTTAGGTCGTACTACGCTTGCAATTAGGTAACTATAATAAACCTTTCTTTTTCTCAATTAATTTATTTCAACAATTAATTGCAGCAATGACCACACAGATCTTTTTTCATATTTTTGTCAACTCCAGCACATAAGTCGTGTACCCAACCTTCGCATTTTAGGCACTGAAACATATACTCTTCGCGATCTTCCCCACAAATATTACAGGAAGATGAACACAATGTAAAATAATGTGGTTGACTAAATGAGACTCTTTTTGCTGGAAGAGGCGCAGCTGGCGTGATATTACGTCTAATTTATTTTCAAAAGATGTGACTTAAGCCATAGCACGACTTGCGCAACCTTACTCTGTATGAGCAGACTTCGGGGTTTAAAGAATCTAAAAAACCAATTCGTGCAGTACTGAGGGATAACCCTCTGACAGTCGAACTACAAAAGAATTTATGTAAGCTGTCGTTAACACTGCCTCTTGCACTATCCGTCACCGACCGTACAATGGATCTGTCCTCGCCATTATGTTAAATATCTGTCTGGAACAGTCTCTTTATAACACTTGATAGAGACGAACACTTATCCGATTCATTGCACATCGTAACAATTGGAAGCCGATATCCTAAGCCGATAACTAAATATCAGTCCGAAACAGTCTTTTTATAAAACTTTGTAGACAGAAACACTCCTCCGTCTAATCATTACACACCACATAGTCGGAAGCCGATATTCCAAGTCGCTACGTCTGCAATTTGAATGCTTACGCACATCTTTTCCTTTCTTCACTCGTTAAGGAACAGTCTCGTAGTGAGTATCTGTTGACCATCATTTGCTGGAGTCATAAATTCGGTATTTCTTCGGTGTATACGCATCACAACAGGAACACGATACACGTCACATGTCGTCATAGGTGATTTATAGGTTTACATTCTTCTCTTTCATCATACGCTAACTCAATTCAGCTTTCGAGAACATCAATACGTCTTCCGTGAATTTACCTTTATCTGTCACATTTTTAAGAATCATCACATCATCAATCTCGTTTCCGTCTTGCCTTCCATTCCAACTTTCAACTAGTTATCATTCGCAAATTTTTCTTTACCCTTTTTTTCATTTCTTCTTCATATCAAACTTTGAGATAGACACTTGTAAGAATTTTTATTCTCTTCTCGCTACAGCTCCTTGCTGCTTTTTTCATTCCTCCCCCCAAAAAATACACCAAGCCTCAACAAAAATTTTCCTATTTAACTCCTGACTTAAATACTCATTCAAAGCCCTCTTTATGCAACAATGCCTCATTTTCAAGATTAATCTCCACATTCATTTTCAAACAAAATTACAAGTATTTAACCATTAAAATTATGCACCGCACTTTCCTTCAGTTTTACCGTGAGAAAGGATACAATATCGTGTTAGCTGTCAGCATCGCAGGAAACTCACAACTAATTCTCTCTCAAAAAGTAATAGCTTAGTAGACAGTCTGTCTACATTTTGTTTCTTTTACAGTCCAAAAGTCATTTAAACAATAAAATGCACCATGCTCCAGTCATGTTGGTTTTTTCATATCTACCGTTATTGTTGACCTCCTGCAAAGAAATTTGTTTACTATATTTTTAACTTTCGCTAATTTTAGTTCTTCAGGTTATTTTACCAGTCAAGTGCAAGGAAACATTTTCTTTAAAGCATGTCCATTCCTCTAGCTCTCTGCGACTAGCTATGCTTCTTAAAGCAACAGAAAGCATTCTGTCTCTCCGCAGAAGACGAAAAGATCGTTTATTAACAATCTGTTTGCTAATTTTACCGCCGGCTGTTGCCTTTCATGACATTCATAAAACCAGCTTTCCCTTGAACATCTACAAACACAGCTAGTGATTTTCCCTGAAGTTGCTACATAACACTCATATAAAAGATCTTGCAACGAGGCTTCAGTAAGGGCAATTATTTGTAATTTCAGAAAGTTATATAATCCGCTTGGCAAAATCTTGTCGCCCTGTTTTATATTCGTACTATTTTTTCCTCACTCTTGTGAGACCAGTCATATTTTTGTTGTTTCAGGGTCGTCGTTAAACGATGATTAAGTTATCATTGTTACGGTTTCCTTTCATCTTTTTTGTCGTGAACATAACCATAAAAACAAAACCGATTTTCTCAATACACATTATAATATTTAATCATTATTCAAAATCTAACAATTTGCACATAATTTATTAGTGTTTCCGCCCTAATTAAAGGACATGAAAAAATACATATAAAAATGGGAATCTGAAATTTTTAGATCACAATCCAACACCTCGAGAATACAAATTCTCTTAAAATTTAGTATTCCTAAAAAACCGAAAAACATTTCAATATCATCTTCATCTTTACATTCGAGTTTGAATCTAAAAAAGGTTTTTGTTTAAAACAGCTAATTTTGCATTTTTAATAATGATTTCTAAAAAATTTGAAATATGTGAAATAAAATCTTGTATTTAAAAGAAGCTGTTCAAAACAACAGTGCAAAATGGAAGGGAAAAATTTCCTGTGGCATTATTCCGTCTTAACTTTTCCAGATGTAAGTCCGCTTTTTTTTTTTGACTGTATCCCTTCTACACGAAGGTCAGATGAAAGTGGCAAAAATTTATTTCTCTCCAGAACATGAGTTTCGACTAGTAAAAATCACTAGTAATCACTAGTAATTGACTAGTAAGCATTTGATTTTGGGTGCATAAAAATTCAAATTTCAAGCTTGAAATCAGTCTGAGGCTTAAATATTTAGTACAATATTAAAATAAAACTTAGAAAATACTTAGCTTAATAACGCACGTTCATTTAGATACAAGAATAAAAATGAAATTCAAGGGATGATGGAAAATTCCTTGGAATGAATTTTAAATGAA